CCTTCAGGGTGGATATAGCTCGCTAGCAGCCTCACACCAATGACCTAGTTGATGTCATCATTTACCCAGAATGTTTTGCGTGTAAATAAAATGGCTCCGTCCGTGTTAAAATATATTTTAAAAAATTTACAAAACTAAACAGCCTACAGTATTTTTGCAGTCTTTATTTTACAGTTAAAATAAATGTTTATCAAATAAAGTTTAATGTTACAACTAATCGTGGATCCCTTTAAGACGTTGCTGAATCGTTAATACAGTAACACTCGCATCGCTCTGCAGGCACCAACAAGCTTTCAATAACGCTGGGCGAACTAAAATATTTTTTCTGGCTTTTTCAGCTGCAGTTACCAAAGGAAGATAAATATTCCAGCAATAACTTGTTCTGTCTTGAGTTCTTTAATTTGTTGGACCGTTTCTAAGGATTGCCAAACCGATGTGTCCTAAAACACGTTTGAAATTCAAAAACCTGCACAAACCAKGACTCATTTTTTGTGAAGAGCCTGGATTGACCCCTGCAACTTTCTTATGAATAATTATGTATAGGTTTATTATTATTTTTGWGAACACAAAGTGGTCTGAATGAGCAAACTTTAGCAACCAAACAGAGATACAAATGATGTATATCGGAAGAGATGCAGTTACAACCTGTGGATGGCGGACATTCCTACCATTTGTCCTGAGTGTTCACTGCTTGTTGCACCGTGTAGCCGAACTCCTCTGCTGCTGGACCGCTGAAAATCTTCGCCCCTGCAGTGCCGACGTTGAAAGGCAGAGATGGACGGATTCTGACAGCTGGTGGAGGAGAAATAGGTCCAGAGTAGATWTGAGCTGACTACGTGTCAGAAATATCATTGGCTACAAATACCAGCATATTATCATCGTTTAGTTTTGACTCAGTCTGTCTTCATGTGCCTGTCTGTCACCAAAGTATTTCATGAAAAACTGGACAATTAAAAACACAGCTCTTCATCTATTGGAGTCTATCTAATTCAAAATGGCTGTCACAACAAATCAACATTATCCAACATAAAAATGTCCAGAACTCTGACAGTTTAACAGATAATGAGCTAAAATTTATTGTGGTCATWGCTGAAAGTCACTCACAGCACATACTCTGAGCGTTGTTTTGAGTTCAACTAAAACAGATAAAGCTTTGTTGAATGCTGAGTCAGCATTCATGATTAGTTTTAGCATTTAGCTGCCACACTGGTAATTTTAGCTTCAGCTATAGTTTTAATAGTTTTAGTGGTTGTGCACATTTTAGCTTTTAGCTACCACACTGAGAATGTTAGCTTTCAGTTGTTATTTTACTTCTTAGCTACTATTTTACTAATTTTAGCTTTTACTTACTGTTTTGTTGGTTTTAGCTTTTTGGTACCACACTAATTTTAGCTTTCAGCTGTTATTTTGTTAGTTTTCCTTCTTAAATACTGTTTTTATAATTTTAGCTTTTAGTGACAGTTCTGTTGGTTTTGCTACCACACTAATAATTTCAGTTTTTGACCAGTATTTTGATGGTTTTTATTTTTAGCTACCATTTTGCTAATCTTACCTTTATTATTTTTGATACATTGGCTTTTAGCTACGACACTGATAATTTCAATTTTTTAGCTATTGTTTCTATAGTTCACCTTTATACTGTTTTGCAGATCTTAGCACTTTGATTTAGTTTTTCACTGTTTTGTTAATTTTGTCTTTTCAGTTTTTGTTCTGATCATTTTAACTTCAKCACTTGAGTTTCAGCTTCAACATTTTTATCCAAGTTATTTACTGCATTTTCATAAAAATTAACCTTTTGTTGTTACTCTGAGGCTCACAGGAAAAACAAACTTATATCTGAGATAAATTAAGTTTTGCTGCAGCATTTCCTCTTTTGAATATGGTGTGAAATTCTTCCAAAACTAAATAAATGCACAGCTTGACTCACAAAGAGCAAAAAAACTGCAGGTTGTGCCTTTAACAAGAGGGTTGTTTCTCAACAGATTCACCTTCAGATGTTCTGAAGCCCCTCAGGTGGAAACTACCTGAGTGTAAATCCACAAGTCCACACAGGCAGGGCTCAGTTATCAACCTGCTCCTCTCCTCTGTCAGCAGCAGGAGGAATGTGGGTGAAAAACTGGAGCCAGGAGCCCTTCGCGCCACGCCTGTTTACCTGCAGCACGAAGCGGGCGCCTCATTCTGCACGGCCTGAGTTTTTGAACTGCACGAGGGGAGAAAGTTTATGTTTTGTATGTCTATAGTGARCCCGTTTCACTGCAGCCATGAAGGACTAATTAAAAAAATAAAACAAACCAAAATGAATAAAGTTCATCTGATGCGCCTCGGATGTGATGGAAATCCTTTTGAGTGCAAACTTTCCGAACCCAAACCGTAAGAAAACCTGACAAAACTTTYCCGAAAATGAATAAAACCAGTAGTTTTCATGTTCGGATAACGTTTRGAGAAGTTAAAACGAGTTTTCTACTTACAAAACACAATTAAAGCAAAGAAGACGTCCCCCMACACGCGCTCCATCCTCGTCCTCGCTTCCTTCGTTTGTTGTGACCGACTGAAGCCTCACGCTTGTCAAAGTCCGTGCACCGGAAGCGATGTCCTTATACGGAGTTTTTCTCTTCCTCCTTACCTGCAGATACGAACTTGTATCATCCGAGGGTGAGGCCTGTAAAACTTTACGCCTCAGGAGGAGTTTTACTCACAGACTCACAGATCTCGAGTTTAAAGTGCAAAAAAAAAAAAAAAAAAAAGTGAAATATTTACAGCCAGATGTAAGATTTCAAAACAGCAAACCAGCCCTTTAATTTAACCCTTGTTTTTAATGAGTGGAATTTAATGAGTGGATTAGAAGTGGGAGGGAAAGACTGGGAATTTTTATGACAGCAGCTCTATATTTGGATATTAGTTTAGTCTGGGAACTAATAAAACAATTGCCCAAAGAACACAATGCCAGTTCTGATGTAAGAATAATAGTAATAAAAAAAACTAAACCATTTTCCTTTATTGGAAATGATGTAAGAGCTTTAAATTAAAGACAGTCATGGCGGTCACAGAAGTTTAACTTTCAATTAGTGGTGCCATTCCATAAGAATAATTGGGAAAGAGTTAYAACTTGTTGCTCCACAGGGACAATCACAGCCTGTGATGTCAAACTGATGTGAGGAAATAGCATATGTGTGCCTCTCTAAGCAACAATTCATTTCAGATTTCTCACTTCTTAATCTGTGTTTGAAGATTCGACACAGACTCACAGAAAAAAGCCTGAATGTGTCCTGAATAATTGCRAAGGAAGCCTTGAGAAAAATAGCCTTCATGACTTCATCCAGGCTTCCTGTTTTAAACTGAAAGGCTTCATTGTGAAACCGGGGCTTAGGAATTTAAAAGATGTGGACATTTACCAGAAAGATTGGGGCTATAGTGTGGCAAAGGTGGGAAAAAAATTACTGGACTAATGCATTGCAAAGAGTTGCTTTTTTTGTAGTTAATCCTTCTTTGTCTTTTGAGACAGTTACTTGAATGACCTTTTGTTCCAATAAAACCTGGTCTGGATCTGGATTGTTCAGACAGGGAAGTAAAAATAGTGGAAATGTGAGCTTGTTGTTCCTGAAATTTGGATTAAATGAAAAAAAAAAAAWKARTAAAATTTAAAATAGTCCAGCCTGTACAAAAACTACATCTACGTGTCTTTATCTGAAGCAAGATATTTTTAGTTTTTGACAAAACTGTGCATTAGAAGAAAGAAGATTGTCTGAGAAACTTGCACAAAGTGCAAGGTAAGAGACTGGGTTCAAAAACAACTTCAATGTTTCTAATTTAAGCCAACGTTGTGTCATCTATTGTAATGTGTGCTCAATAAGGTTTAAAAGTCCAAAGGCAACTTGTGTCTGAATTTAACATAATATAAACTGAAAATTGATTTAAACATTATTTAATTCAGTTCATCTGGCTCTCACTCCTCCTCCGCTCCCCAGCTCTGACTCATATAAGTCACTGGATGGGTTGGAGAAGCTACGAGCAAGTTTAGCTTTTACATGGAAATGAAGCAAAGTGGTTCCTGGAAAAGACGACGAGCTTCTGTTTGTGCTGATAAAATAAGACCGAACTGCGTTAAGTCCCTCTCTCTGCTAAAGGAAGCCCAGTTTCCTCAGTTGAATGCTCTTGTTGAAGTAGGAACAATGCCAACATGTTTAGACAATCTTTGTTTATCACAAAGGGCGATCTAGAGAAAAGTATTTAGAGCTAAATGGTTTTGTCAGTGCGAGGTCATTGTTAAAAATCCCCTCTGAAAAGGCAGCGTGAATCATACCAGGTTTCCCAGGAATGGATGTTTGGAAACTTTTACAACTTACTTCTTTTGACATCTTCAGACTTTCAAGTTTTGTAAAAACAACAGAGGGATTTAATGGTTGTACCCGGCCCCTTCCCCCGTCGGATTTTAATAAACAATCTGTAAATGGAGGAGTTTATCACCAGGAAAATGACAAAAAAAGAGAGAGAAAAGGTTCACAGCAAGGCAACTCAAATGTGACAACATGACTGAAAGGGATGAGGCGTTTGTGGTATAGTGCCTCATAATTTTTTATTTGTTTTCTTTTTTTGTTGGCTTCCAGATGAAACGAAGCACCACAACAATTTGTAGCCCCGAGAATTACCACACGACAATCAGCTGCTGCAWATGAGCTGAGCAGAAACATGAAATAACTCAAAGGGTTGTAAAAGTATGGCAATAAATTTTACAAATAACTGTGGCATTGTTGTTATTCCCTTAACAAAAAGAAGTTTACTTTAAGTACAAATATACTTAAGTATATTTCCCCATGTGTACTTTAATTCATCAAGTACTCTGACTACTAATTAGTGTACTTCTTGGGACTAAATTGGTCTACTAYAAGTTTATAAAAGTACACTTTGAAGTACACTTAAAGTAATCTTATAGGCATACAGCTGGTTTCTAAACTTTAAGTATTTAGTTTATGAAAATACACTGCAGTCTGATATTAGTTTATTAATATTACATTTCTAGTCCACCGTATTTGTTGTTTTTTTGCCTTTCAGCTCCTCCTTTCTTCAGGATGCAAAGTTGAGGAGATGGTGATTCAAACCAGCAACCTTCCAATCRCAGGCTCGCCTTCACTAACCTCTGCACCACCCCTCCTCCCCTCCGCTGTTTGGTGAATACACAATMTATTTTCAAGTGTACTGAAATAAACCTAATTTTAAATAGATTTGAGTATTTTAATTGACTCCACTAAACTGTCCCACCTCTTACACCATTGCTCACTCATAAGTTATTCATAAAGCTGACCTGTTCTTAAAAACATCCATCCATCCATTCATCCATCCATCCATCCATCCATCCATCCATCCATCCATCCATCCGTTCATCCGTTCATCCATCCATCCATCCATCCATCCATCCGTTCTTCCTTTCAGAGTCACGGGGTCACTGATGCCCATATCAGTAGTCCCTATGCGAGGGGCGGGGTACACCCTGGACAGGTCACAAGTCCATCCCAGGAAAAACATACAAAACAGAGTTACCAGTCTGTGTGAAAAAGTACTTTTTATGTACTACTTAAGTACTAGGGATGTAAATCACCAGCTTTATCACGATACAATATCACATCGATGTTTGGATGACGATTCGATATTTCTTGATATCACAAAGTCTGTCACAATATGATTTCGATTCAATTTAATTCACGTCTGCGATCGATATAATGCGATATCATRTCCCACTGATGATATCACATATGATATSGATTCACACTGAGCATATGATGACAATATAGATCGGCATTTTCATTTTGCCTCGATATAACTGAATCATGAACCATTCAAATTGATACAGTATATTGATTTAGATCGATGTATCATTACACCCCTATAAATTACTGGTTAAAAGTTTAAATAATCTATCCATCTATCAATTATCTATACCTGTTTATAGGGTCACGGGGGTCACTGGTGCYCATATCCAGCAGTCACAGTGTGAGGGGCGGGGCTCACCCTGGACAGGTCACAGGTCCATCACAGGGCCGCACATAGAGACAAACGAGACAAACAACCATTCACTCTCTGTCACACATAAGGACAATTTAGAGTTATCAATTAACCTAACAGTCATGTTTTTGGTCTGTGGGAGGAAGCCGGAGTACCCGGAGAGAACACGCAAACTCAAGTTTAAATAAGTATAGGCTGAATACACTTATACTTTTAGTAGTATAAGCCAAGTATAGGTAACTTTATTAAGTACACCTTTGATAAGTAAACTGAAAGTATACTCTCTTGTTTTTAGTTTGAACTTAAAGCACACTAGCATATACTTGTATACTTTTTGGTAAGAGTGTTGAAGAGTGAAAACCAGAAGAAACAGAAAATTTGCTTTAAAGTGAAAAAAACACCCACAAAAAAAAACCCCAACAACTTTCACATATTTTTTTCTGACAGTTTAACAAAAGTTAAACAGAAAATCTGCAGATTTACAGATTTTTGTCACCCCATTTGTTTTAAATATATATGTTCTCTCATGGAGAAACTTGCTTTACAGTTTATTTTAGAGACATGTCTGGATGAGCAGCCCACAGGTTTAATCCCTCCTTTTACACCCATCTGCTGACCAATGGGAATCTGCGGCTCAGGTCTGACATAGTTTCATTGTGAGGCACAGAGTCAGGCTCGCTGAGGTCATTAAACAGACGAGATGGGAACAAATGCAGCCATCATCCTGTCACATGACCGCTTCCCAGTTTCACACAGCTGATGTTCAAACAATGCAAACGTGGCTCTTGATGATGTTACAGTTTGTTGGCGCTCAGTGGTTTGCAGAGGAACAATGTTGCCTTCTCAACACATGCACTCAAAATGCATTCTCGTTTCTGCTGTCCTTCAAAATAAATAAATTAATTAATAAAATAAAATAAAAGGCGCAAACGTAAAATTCACAGCAGCATCAATCACTCTGCGGTTCAGATGAGCTCCACAGCTGCACGTTGGCAGTAAAGTGGATGCAGACTTGTGGAAAGGTTTGTGTCGTTTCTCTGCACAGAACTCTTACTGACAGATGGGAAAAATTAACTMTATTGCACCCCATTTTTTTCTGGATTACAGTAAACTGGTATGTTTAAGGCGTGGTGGAGGGTTGTTTTGAACGAATCTTGCATGCAAGATGGGAAAAACAGAAATGCACTGTGGTGTTGTGTTATTCACTTTAAAATAATGCAGATCACCACTAATGTCCATCAGCTGCAGCGGCCATCTTGAATTGGCTTCACTTGGTTGTAATGTACATCCAGTGATTGTTTTCTTTCACTTGCTCTTTACTGTAACAAAAAATATATATCTGTGGTTTGTTGTTGAGCTGAGAGGAATGTGATCGTTTGACTGTTCATCATTCTTCTCTAAAACAAATTCAACCGCCGAGAGCCTTCAAGGCCGCTCCACATGACAACTCTCTGAACACGAACCACCGCAGAGGAAGAGGCCAGCAGGTTTTCATTAAACAAAGGAAATGACAAAACGCTTATCAGGGAAACGTGGAGCGGGCTGGAGAGTGAGAGGAGTTTATCTTTAACGTTCAGACTTTGTCACAAAKATGAGAACTCTGCTTGTTTTCCACACATACGCTGATGCTTTCAGTGGTTTAAACAATTCAAAAACAATTATTCCTTTTGTATATGTTTGGTTTTCAGTCACAAAAGAATGAATGATCTGCAAATGTTTTATAAGCACAAGTAAACAACAAAAAGCCATAAAAGGGTTAAAATGTTTGAGTTATGAAGTGTGTACCTCCAAAAAACAATCAGAACCTGAATATAAGAGCTGGCAAAAATAAAAATTTTCATTTAAGAAAATGAGCAACAAGCAATAAATAACATTTACCTGAATGGATTTGTAAACTACTGAGCCTTAATTATTGTTGATGCTTAATAAAGTGTTATGAAAGCATTAATAAAGCCTTTTAAAAAGTGCTCTTTTTGTAGTRAGACTGTGAATTACTTATATTTTGTAGTAATATTACGTTTTCAAACTTTACTTGTTTTAAACATTTAGGATTTTGTTAAGTTCTTGGCAAACTTAAACAAAATGTGGAAACTTCTTTATCATCTTTAGACATAAATGATTACAAGCTATAAAATGTAAGTCAGGGAAGAAAATGTAAACATGGTGGATATTTAAAATATTTTTAAAAAGCCTGGTCATGTACATAAATAACTTAAAAAATAAACGTAAACACAATATTTCTGAAATAATCTATCTTATGCCTGAGTTTTTCCTTCTTATTTAATCAGTTTTATACACACAACTGGCAATTTATTATTCTAAAATGTTAAACTCTTTACAGTAAAATATAACATTATGTAAATATGGTAAATAACATCAAGCAAAGRATTCAATTTATCAATTCAGTCAGACATCTAGATGCTATAAATCCTTTAAAAAATCTCCTTTTACAWTTTGTTTTTGTTCATTTCAGCAGAATTTAAATGAGCCAATATGTCTGCACAACACTGCACAAAGTTACCAGCAGGTGGCAGAGTTTTTCCTTGCARAGCAGACAAAACAAACCTTTTCACCCTCCTGCTTCCCTGGGGTCAAACTGATCCGAGGTCTCAGTTTTCAAACTAACATCTTGTGGGTCATTTTAAAAAACACAATTCATGCACTCAAGTCCTTTTACTGGTACTAATGGAAAAAATGTATTTAGTTTAGGGCTGCGAAATTAATTGAGTTAACTCTGATTAATTTTAGAGCTGTATGGGCATAGATTAAAATTTTTTAATAGTGATTAAAATGTACAATCACTTTACTATGGCTGAATATGTATGG